TGCATTAGGCTAAGACCCAGAAAAAAAAAAACTCTGTACATGTACTAAGTATGTGGCAAACGGGTGTAAGCGACTGTCTAATACCTAAGCTAAAATTAGCAAAAATACTATTATTTATATTTAATATTTAATTGCATTTATATATTATTATATATTCGTTTTCGTTTCATTTAAAAAATATTGTGATAGCAGAGCGTGTGTATATATAATTTTTTTAAGATCTATAAAGATGAACTTTGGAAAAGATTACCAACTAAGTGTTTCCTAAATTGTCTGTACATTGCCTTTATATTATATTTTGAAAAATATATGTAAATGGCAAGAAATGTTTTTAAATATTCTAGGGAAAGACTAAACTCAACAAATATTTTTAAATTTTTCTAAAGGCGTTTTATATTATATATTTTATATTTGTATATATTTTAGATCTAAAAAATCACAGTCAAATATATTAAGTAGCTCATTCAACACAGCCAATATACTCTCTCCACATTTCGTGGACGAGTATAAATATTGTATGGGAAAAAGTCAGACAAAAGCTGGCGAAAATTAAAGTCAAAGTCAAAGCCGATTAGACGCTTAGCATGTTAGACATGAAGAAAGACACAAAGAGGAGGCAGCGAGGAGGAGCAGGAGGAGAATGACAGAGAACATTGTCAGGCCAAATGTGTGAATAAGTAGCAGAGATGTATGCATGTGTGTGTGTGTGTGTGTGTGTGTGTGTGTGTCAAATGTAAATATATATATTTATATTGACACACATGCGGGCAAAGGCAGATCGAGTGCATTTTTATGTAAATATAGGAAGTATATCAGAGGTACGCACACACACGTGTATATATATATATATATGGTTAGCTATATACATGTGTGTAGGTGCGTAAAAAGGCGACAACCGTTGTAGATATTTGCATAGCCCGCTTTACTGTTTCGCTGGGCGGGGCTGGCTGCCTTTCGATTTGCTTGTTTTCGCTTTTCATTTTCTATTTACGCGCAAGATGGAGACATCAAGTCACGTAGCCATAAAGACCAGTTCAATATGCGTGCGTGTGTCTGTGTGTGGCTGTGTGTGTTTGTTGTACAGAGCCAACACAGTCATGTGTTATTGATTGGGCGTTGCGAGGCTTAAACAGCGAGTGTAGCCGTGCCGCGCGCACATCTGTTTGCAAATCATATTCAATATTTTGTTTGCTTTTAGCTTCAGCTACACAGCCAACTGCCACATGCCACATGCCGCGTGCCGCTTGCCGCATGCCAGCAGCAGCTAGGCGCTCCCCTTTTGCCGTGCCAGCTTAAAACCTTGTTGCAGTTGTTGTACTTACATTTGATTGCATTTGCCCTACACAACTTGAACTTTTGCTTGCTTTTTTTCGAGGAGTCCGCGTTGTTTGCCAAAAATTGTTGGCCTTCCTTTACCCTAGCCAAAACTTTTGCAACTTAATCATCGAGACAGAGGCAGAGTGCGAGACAGAGAGAGAGAGAGAGAGAGAGGGGTGGAGTGGGTGAATCGTAGAAAAGACTTCCAGCAAGCGTAACCTGGCCACATGCTCTGGCAGCGCCATCTGTTGTCGGGCAGCGGCAGCAACATATTGTTGTTCCACGGCGTTGTTGCAAAGTTTTCACATTAAAAGCATTTCAAGCCAACAAATTGGGAAATGTGTTTACCGGCATACGCATATTCTTACAACCTTTACACACCTCTTTGCTTCTGCTTCTTCTTCTTCTTATTTTTTATATCATTTAATTGAAAGTCAAAAGCGAAAGTTCGCTATGGAGGGGGCGTAACCTTTTCAAAAAGTTGTTTTGCTGCCTTTTCTTCTGCATAGCCATGGAAATTGAAATACAAATGTACAAAAATATTTTTGTTTGCGTCTAAATAAGTTGGGAGCTGTGCTCTAAAAGCAAGCTCTAATAGTTTTTTACAGTTTTAGTGTTTGCACTATTTGAAAAGTGAAACTTAATGCAAAAGCCAAACTAGTGTCGGTCAAATTGTGAATTTAGCTGTTTGAAAGCAGCTCATAGAAAAGTTTTAGCGCTTTTTAGTGGATGCTATAGAGGGCTAAACTGGCTGGAAAATTTAGAAAATAATACAGTTGAGGAGGAGTTTTTAAATGTTTTATTAAAATATAATATGCTTGTAGTATTTAATTTAAATAATTTATATGAGCACTAAAATCAATTTTAATATTAAATTCATATGAAAAATATTAAATTTAAATTAAATTAATTTTATTTAGTTTCGGCTATAATTTTAATATATGTCAAAATTCTTGAATTGAATTTTTTTCATTTTCATAGAGCTTTACTCAATTTTTCATATTCATTTATAAAATAAAATTTCTATATGCATAAGCAATATACATACATATGTATGTATGTATATGTGAGCATATTTCATATTCACCTAAAATCTCTAATAGAATTTATGTTGGCTATAAGCTGTTAGCTGTTGACTTCAGCATTTTTGTATTATAAACAAAAAAATTGAGAATTTGCAGGTTTATTTCCTTTATTTCTTTGTATAAATAGAAAAATAAACAACAACAACAACTAATAACTAGAGAAATCGCAGCTCAGCTGCTTTGTTGACTTTGAATGGGTTTTGCCTTTAGCTGTTTGTTGTTGTTGCTCTTGTTCTTATGTTGTTGTTGTTGTTGTTTCCATTTGTTGTAATGCTGTTCTGCTATTATATAGCTCTTGGCTGATAAAGCTGCATGCCGTGTGCATTTTGTAGTCGAATGCAGTTGGCTCTTTATGCGATATACTTGTTAATGTAAGTATGTATGTATGTGTGTTTGTATATGTGTGTATGTATGTGTGGAGCGTAGTATCTGCCTCAGTTTTGTCGCATTTTCCACTTGCAAACACAAATACAAGGATAAAACACGTACACACACACACACACACACACACACACATTCATTCACTCACACTCACACGCACACACACATACATATAAAGCCCTGTGAAAAGGGCCAACGCCATTGTCAATTTTTATATGAAAATGACCAAGCATCACATGCATGTATGTGTGAGTGCTAAAGTGTGTGTGTGTGTGTGTCTGTGATATTGTTGTTGCTTATGCTTTTGTGTTGCAGCCACAGTAACGGCTGCTCCTGCTGCTCCTGCTATTTGTTCATGCTGCTCAATTCCAGTTAAGAGATAAAATTTTTATGACATCACTTTTCTTTTTCATTATTTATTTGACCGAACAACAACATCGACGTTGCACAGCGACTGCCACTGCTGCTCCGGCTCCTGCTGCTGTTCCTGCTCCTGCTGCTGCTCCTGCTCCTGCTTCTGCTGTTGTTACTCCTGACAATCCGCTGCAAATGATGAGCAACGGCGCCTTGGGAGTTTATGAACTTTATGTTTATTGAAGCCATAAATTGGTAGTGCATATGGCTCTTGCTTGCCGTTCGCCCGGGCGTATACGTAATATCACGTACTCGCTGCATGACGCCAAATGTCATGAGGCAACCAAGCCCGGCCAGTATTAACAAATTCGCAATTAGCTGCAATTTGCACAAATTAAGCATTTAATCAGCTGCAATCGGATTGTGGAGTTGCATGAAAACACATTTAATTAATAGCCATATAAAAGGAGGGCGTGTCACTCGAAATGGACGAAAAATGAAGTTGTTTCTTATAGTTGTGCTATATTTGTTGCAGCTGCAAGTCAATTTGTCCAGCAGCTGGGTAAGATTATGACAGCATATTTCAGCTAAAAGACAACTGAGGCTACAATCTTTCATCTACCTCTCCCTCTTCCTCGCCAAGGGCTTCTACAAGTACACCGCCTCAATTCTGCAAATTGATGTCTTGCCGCACGAGGAGGAGCTGGTTATCGATTTCAGCGACTTGCACATTGTGGGACGTCAGCGCGCTCTGAATGGCAGCATTCGCATACTCGAGGATATGGACTCAAAGACCCATCAAATGTCTGTGGATATGCTCAACGATCCGAGCCTAAATGGCCAATGGAAGGCAATGATATTCGCCATGCCGCTCATCAATGTCTGCTATGCAATGCGCTTCTTCGTTGGCAGCTACGGCAAGTCGACAATGCAATTGGGCGTGAACACGAATGTGCCGTTCGATGGCACACACTGCCCGCTGCCAAAGGGCACATACTTCACCAACAATCTGCAGCTCAACACCGAATCGTGGCCAGATGTTGTGCCGTACGGCGGACTGAGAATAAATTTGCGCTTCTTCAAGCATAATAAGCCAGCGGGCGGTATGAGCATTACGATTGATGTACAGAAGAAACAATAACAAATGAGCGATTGATTGGTTGACCTGAATAAAACATAAATATGATTCTGAATAGTAGATGAATGTGAGAATTTTATTCAAATTTATCAATAAATAAATGCAGGGTTTTATATTGAATTTAATTAAATCAAAGCTAAATAGTCAATTTAAATATTTAATTGACTTTCATTATGGTTAAAAGGGGTTGGCTAAAATGTCTGTAAAAGGCAGCAAGAGGCAGCTTAAGAGGATTCAGAATTAGCAGCATCAGTGCTCTAGCCCTGCCTTTGTACATACAGAAAATGTTAAGTTAACAGCAGAATGGCGCTGCCTTAACACAGCTCTGTTAAACATAACAGCAGCCATAACATAATGCAGAGATAACATCGCAATTTGAGTTTTAAATATGCAATTTCAATTAAATGAAAAAGCTAGATAGTCCAGCCTCAATTACACCTGTGACAGATGTGAAAAATGAATAAATCAGCAGCGCTTATGTAATTAAAACTTTGTATGCCATAAAGGCAAATGAAAATATTTTAATAAGGGCTAATGGGGCAGCGTTTAGGCATTCGAATTTACTAATTAGTAGTAAATTGCAATTATATCTGCTTGCAATTGAGCACATGAAATTGATGCCAATCTGCGATATTTTTGTAAAAACATGTTCAACATTTTAACATTTTAATGAAGCGCCGTATATATATGAATGTATGCAAACGATTCAATTAGCGAAAGTCGAAATGAAGCTGTCAGCAGTGCTAGTGCTGCATTTACTGCTGCTAAGAGCTAAGCTATCCCTGGGTTGGGTAAGTGCACGCAGGATGTAACTAAATAATGGGAGTGTTTAATGGGCATTATAATCTCCGACAGGGCTTATACATGTTCACTGTGAGGATAACGAGCTTTGAGTCTTTGGCTGGCCTCGAGAAACATTTGATTGATTTTCACAATATTAGCATTGTGGGCGAAGATCATGCGCTCAATGGCACGGCTCGCATACTGGAGGACATGGATCCGAAGCAGTTTCAAATGTCCATCGATTTTCAACACGATCCCAGGCTCAGCGAGCAATGGCGTCCGATGATCCTCTCCGTGCCCATCGTGGACGTCTGCACGGCAATGCGTCTGTTTGTGGGCACCTATGCCAAGACGACGCTGCGACAGGGCGAGAATACAAATCTTCCTTTCACGGGCAACGAGTGCCCTTTGCCCCAGGGCGTTTACTATGTGCAAAATCTGCTGATTAATACGGAGACCTGGCCGGACTTGACGCCCGTCGGCGGTCTGCGGCTCAATATGCGTTTCTATAAGCTCGGCAGCTTTGTGGGCGGCTTTCGACTAACCCTACACGTGGAGCGTAAGCCGGTGTAATCTCAGGGCCAGCCCTTGGGGCACCTGTAATAAATAAAAGCAGCATTGTTGAACTTGACTTGAGTCCGCCTATTATTCCATATAACCATCATATTGCAAAGAAATACACTTATATATGCATGTATATTCGATGCTATCAAATGAATTTGCTCGACAATCTGCAAATTTTCACAAATGGATCACATTAAAATACACTAAAAACCCATTAAATTCGTATAAAATCCCATTTTTGTGCATTTAATGTCATAAATCACAAAATTTCACAGCACATGCATTAGAGTACCACACACGTACACACACACACGCGCACACACAAAGCCAGACAGGCAACAACACACACACACACATGAAGTTGGGGCTTAGTTGCTGCTGACAAAAGCCAAACAATGCGAATTGTGCGTTGTTTGTCGCCAGTTTTTGGGCCTGTATCCTTGCAACAACAACAACAGCAGCAGCAATAACAACAAGATGACCAACAACAACAGCAACAACAACAGTGGCTACAGCAATGCGAACAAAATGTATCTGCTTAGGTCCTGGCTCCAATTTCTGACCCAAACGTTCTGCAATACCCAAACCGTTTGCCAAATGGGGCATATTTAGCGAAAAAGATAAATTTTGTATAATATATTATAAAACAATTGATATTTAAATATGATCGAGAACTAGAAATAATAAGCTACAAATAGATATAATTGAATACTAGATAAATCCATTAAATTCAGGGGAGATAACAACAAATTAGTTTGCATATTGAGTAAAGTTTTTTGTACACAACTTTAACATTGACTTAACAGAGTGAAGCTGCCTTAGGTATTATGGCAAAGCTTGTTGCTTGTTTAGTTTTTTAAATGTTAAGAGTTTAAATTAAAGAAGAGCATATGATTTAAAGACATAAACTAGATAAGCTAGGTCTGATTGAATTATAAATATAAATCAGATTTCTAGTGTTTGTCGAAATTTCGTTTCTGATTTAGTTGGATAGATAAATAAACATCACTATATTACTATAATTGATTACCATAGTAATGCCACAGTTTCTAGTTTCAACAACGCTATACTTAATCCCTTATACCATACCCTTACTAACAGAAATTTCCAAAATTTCCCGTCGCTAACTGCAATACGCAAACAAATAGAGCTCAGGACTTGGCAGTACACAAAATCCATATAGAATCAGTACACTTCAAACATTACTGTACTTATTGAAACTTGTTTACTCTACATTAGTTAGAGCTACTTGTAAGTAATACTATTTGTATTACATTGATTAGAAAAGTTAGCTCAAGCACACCTTTAGCAATGACTTTCCCAATAAATGAAACACAAATAATATTACTTATAAGTAGTTGGAGCAAACATATCAAAGGCTAACAGGTGCCAGTATATGCGAGTCGAGTCAGCCCGAAACTTGTCTGCACCGCTCGTATGCTGTGTGGGCGTATGTGACTGGAGCTGCTGTGGTCTATCTCTCTCTCTCCCTCTCTCTCTGTGTGTATGTGTGTGTGTGATTTTTCATGCAAATGCAGAATGTCCCTTTTTTTGGCTTTGGCTATTGCTTGGTGTTGTGTTTTGTGGTCGCAAAGCATTTAAATGCCGCACATTAATGCAATCCAGGCTGGATTTGCAAATGCTTCTGCTACTCCTGCTCCTGCTCTGGCTACCACTCCTTCATTGTGGCAGCTCTATTCATTGAGCAATAAAATCGAAAAGCACCCAGTCAACAACATGCGATATACAACATATACATATATGTATATGTATATGTATATGTACATGGAGACATGTGTACACAAATGTTTTGTGGCCAGAGCGAACGAAATTTGTTCGAGGCAAATTTCATTGGCATTTGATTTGATTTTCTTCAGCCCTTTCTATTTCCATGCCTGGGCCACCTACCAATGTAAAGCAATGACACATAATTAATTGATTTGACAGCAGCTGGCAGCACACAGCAGGCGCCAAATCCTCTAAGCCAGCAAACAAGTTGTACTTGGGCAGAGAGAACAGCTGCTGATGCCGTGTAACCCGGCACTCACAGCGCAGCAAGCTGTCATAAAAACTTAAAAACAAAATAGAAAGCAGAGAAAAACAAAATATATATTAAACTCTGTGAAAACTCACTTAACCAAAGCGCATAAATGTAAGAAGCAGCTGCAGCTGCAGCTGTTGCCGTTGCCGTTGCCGTTGCCTGCTGCAGGCAGCAGCTCATGTTTGCCAGAGCCCAGACACGTATATGTGTATATATAGAAATGTATGTAGTCTAGGCAACAAAACACTTTGCCAACAAGCAGGTAACAGCAACAGCAACTGCAACAGCAACAATAAAAGTGAAAAGTGCATTGGCAAATACTATAAACGTGTCCGTCTGCAACGTTCCTTCCACCTTACCCAGCAGTAAAGCTGGCCATATTTCTGAGCCCACTCCTGTGTCTATATGTAGTCCATGTGTGTGTGTGTGTGTCTGTGTGTTTGCTGTACCTGCTCAGACATATGTTTTGGTTAGCTACTCGCTGCTCTGTCCATAGTCGAAGCACCTGCACGGCGCTTATTTGGCTATGGCCTATGAATAATGGCAATGGCAATGGCATTGCCTGCGAGCCTTCGAGCTTATTGTGTGAATTATTAGCGCTGTGTGTATTAAAATGCAGCTCAAGCTAATGCACACACACACACACACACAGAGACGTACTCAATGGTAAATGAGAGAGGTAGAGAGAGAGAGCGCGCAGATAAGGATTCTAGTTTGGCCCACGCTGCGTATGTGCGATGTGATTTACAAGCCAAACTATTCGACGGCGCATTTAATGTGTGCGGCTTTATGGCCACAAGAGTGTTTAACAGTTAGCTGCAAACAGCTCGAGCAGCTGCCAGCCAGCCAAAAGCACACAAAAGCCCATAAATAGAACCAAATACATCTATATATATGTATGTATGTATACATACATATATCTCTGTCTGGATATGCCCTGGACAATTCTCATTTGATTATATTTCTCTTTGGCTGGATTTAATCTGCTCTTGGCCCAGACCTTATGGCAGTTGGCTAAACGTATTTGAATTATTTAATTATGTTTACTAAGCATTCGCAAATTGCAGATTCGAGATTTGTAAGCCGCATTTAATTAAAATTTAAGCATTTGATTTAGTAGAGCCAAAAATAAATAAATTATATTCAGAATTATGGAAATTACGAGATGAAAAGCTTAGGTCTATAAGTAAGTTCTCAATTTATATTAGCTCTATAATAATATAATATAATAAATATATATATAGAAATTAACAGACTTTTTTTTTTAACATAACATTAACAACATTTTTTATTAAAGGATTTATTTAAAAAAAAAAACCCTGATATAGTTTTATATTTTTCTATACCTATAAAATTTTTTTTTATTGAAATATATTTACACATATATTTTTTTTAAAATATAATTTATTAATATATACTTTAATATTATATTATTATTTATATTTTATTCTCTCTATAAGCAAATTTAATCAAGTGCTATATTTTTATTTTTAATTTATATATTTTTTATTATATATTATTATTTTTTGTTTTTCTAATGGCCATCATATTTGATCCATTCCATATCAATTTCTTTTATCCAACAAATTTGCACTTCGTCTGTGCATTCGAATATATAAATTGCTATCTAAAATTCTCGTCAATTATCCCGACTTTAAATACTAAAATAATATTAGCTCAACAGATTTTCGGGAATAAAAACTTTTGCAAGTAAAGTTTTTGTTTTGCTTTTATGAACGAGAAATGTTTGGGTTTTTGCATATGAAATTTATTAATTCATAGTCAGGAGTTTTATAACTCATTTATAGTGAAACTGAGTTTATTTTTATTGTTTTATGCTTGTTCTCTTTTTTTTTTCATGCATCAGCACTAAATTGAATAATCCAAATTTATGTATAGTCGGTGCAATATAGAACAACCGAAATTGTCTTTCATATCAGTTCCATTAGCATATTGTGAATAACAATTGTAAATATATTTATTATTTATTTATATTTAAGCATTCATTAAGCGTATTATTCGCTTTTAATGACAGTGTCTAAAGCCGCTGCTGCAAGGGGCGTGGCCCATTTTAATGAGGCGCAGATTCAGCGGCTGGCAGCTCCTTGTTGCTGTTGTTGTTGTTGTTTGTATTTATTGTTGCTGCTCGATCGACTTTAATTAAACTCTGCATTATTGGGCTCCGTTCTAGACTGAGTAAATGACATGGGTCTTGCCTATGCTGATAAGAAATCAACATCTTTCGCCTGTTTACGCTGCGTATGCGTAATGTAATTGATGAGTGTACGCAGCGCGTGTGTCAATGTGTGTGTGTGTGTGTGCTGTTGTTGCTGCTGCCGTTGCTTGTGCTTGTGTGCAGTGACCTGCATTGCTGTCAGTCCGCTTGGGCAGGCGCCACTTCAGCGCTGCCAGGCAAACAGGAAACGGATGCAAAACTGTGACACAGGAAACGCAGTTGTCGGCGTCGTTGCAACTGCAACTGCAACTACAGCAGCAGCAACAGCTACAGCAACAGCATCAGCAACTGCAACAATTAAAGCGATAAAAGCACAAAATGGTCACATTTCAGCAGCGTTAATCAGCAGCAGACGACAGCCGCATGGATGCGGATATGAGCAGGAGCAGCAGCAGCAACTGAGAGAGAACTCAGGGAGACGATGAGAGGATACAGAGTGGCGGGAACGGACATTTGGAATGGCAATTTAAAGCCACTTGGCAAAGCCTCAGGCTCATGTAATGAGCGCACTTGGGACGCAGTGCAGCGCCAGCGGGCAACGCTGGGGCCTGGCCACATGATGACACACATTTACCGAGCGGCGTTAACGCTTAATGGCCGCAACGAGCAACAATGCACTGAGAGAAAATATTGAGTGTTAACAATTGAGCAGCAGAGCAGAGACAAGCAGACATCTCCTAAACTTTTTCCTTTGCCATAATTCTGTTAATCTATTATGAGTTATACACCCTTTTCTATATATATTTTAAAACCATTTAA